CTCAGCCGATAGAGAAGCCGCAGGCCAGTTTGGATAAACCAGTTTTATTTTCTATTCTACATGGTTTTACTTAAGCCATATTTCCAAATGTTTAAGTATAGTAAGAATTTTTGAAGTCAAATGTTCTTTAGGCGCTTTGGGCATTTTTGAACAACAAACAAAAGATTTTTTTTTGAGATGGGAAAAAACCATTGAACTCGCGACACTGTTATCGTTTTCGATACTTCTCTGAGTATCACCAGAGTTGAGTTTGGGTTGGAATACATTGATAAAATAACTAAATATAATATCGACATATATTGTGTTTATACGTACAACATAGATATATATGTATATTCAAATCCAAAAAAAAAGAAAACAAAAAAATTTAAATGTTCAAGTTTTCACTTCTGTTGGCACTCCAGGAGTGATACTGTTTTGTTTTTAATCAATCGTTTAATTAATTCAATCTATTGCTCTCTAATATTGATTAATGGAGTACGTTGCGATCTAACGTACGCCAAAGCCTTCTGTCCTCCGCCTTCCGCATCCAATTTACACCTTTCTCAGGTTCATATTATATTAGAGTTATTCACAATTGGAATTGACGAATATGTTGAGGAGTCTCAAAGTGCTTCATTTTCACTGCGTGCAGTTCTAAATATGTTTTCGATCGGCTATGCGTGTGCCTTGGGTCAACTAATTACGGTAGTAAGTTGGTCAAATAGAATTGAATCAACCTTGGTTCCATATTTTCTCTCCATATTTCATCGTCTTTTTCAATGTACTGTTTACTGAAACACTGGTTTACTTTGTGATACCCACAAACCAAAGATTTCTGAATGAAAAAATATTTTGGTTTGTCAGTAAATTAATTTATTTTCTGTTACAGGTTTAGGTATAAAGTTCTTTTAAAATAGCAAAAGGTGGATGTACCCTTATTGCAGCATGCTTTATTAGGAGTAAAATAAATTTAATTTTATCAACAAATAAAATGATAAAAAAGAAAATTACAATACAAATCACAATATATCAAAGTAAAAAACGTTTTTTGAGTACACTATTTTCAGTGAATAAAAAACATTTTTGTACCAAAGCGGGGGAATTTCATCAAGCAAAATGACGTGCTTCTAACCAAAATTCAAAATAGTGCAAAATCGCTGCAACCTCGCCTTAGTTATTGTATGAAAATTAAAAAACGTATACGTTCCTAAAAAAAAAGTATTTTCTTAATTGATTCATAAAAAACAACTGAATTGAACCCTCCTTCTATTGTAGTTAGAAGTTGATTAGCTGGTTTTTCTATTGTTATGATCAGTATACACGGCACTAAATTATTATTACTGACGTCACAGTTAGGTTGAATGAACTTCAAATTTCTCATTTCTCAGCGAGTACCTACATCCAGTGACAATATTTCTAAATAGGCCTTTTTGCCTTCAGGGTAATCAGAGACAACAACCAATTACTGTTTGAATTTATTTATTAAAAGACCGTATTTATTTTTACATTCATTCACATTATTCATAAGATTGTGAAAGAAAGTAAAATATTTTTTTTGATAGTAGAGGAAGATTCCTCTTCTATCTTCTTCTATCAAAAATCTGCCGTTTTTAAGCTATATACTTAAAAACTTAGACAAGCAAGGGCATGTTTCTTAAAACGGTGGTTTCAATAAAATTGCTTTAAATTATTACTATTATGATTAGTAATCAAGTGCTTTGTCACGGGTACCTCACGCAACATTTTTAATCTTCAGTGTAATGCATTTTGTTAAACCGAACATGATTAGTGTTTATCTTGAAAGTATGTGTTTTGTAAAAAGAAAGGTTCACGTGTTTTAATAACAGGCAGAAACACAATGGAATCGTATTTTGAAAAAAAAATGGTTCATTAATGAATTACGCGACCACAGCGGCCATAGTCAACAGACTCGTTTAAAGGCTTCATAAATTGATTTTATTAGTAATTGTATTAGTTACTGCAAAATAAAAGAAATTGAGTGCGCTATAAGTACGACTTGCCCCGTAAATCTAGTTTACAAACAACACACAAGTATGTACCCAATTCAATTTTACAATTAAAGTTTAAAAAATAGCAGTAAATAAATGTTTTATGTGAAAATCTCGTTACACGGTCTAATAGTGAATGTTAGTTTGATATCTCAATCAAACATTTGACTGACATAGAATATATATACATATCCTTAAATTCTTCATTAAATAAATACAGAACTGATAAATTGTTATGAAATTGAGTTAAATGTTTTGCTTGAAAAAGTTCCCAGACTAACAGATCGACGGAAAGCAAGGCACATGAAACCCTAATAGGAATATAGTTAATTTTCTATTTTGTATTTTATATTCTAACTTTGCAGGATTTTTTATCGGTGAGCTAAGATTCTTACGAGCAGAGCGGTAGGAATACACTCGAATTCAATTGTCGGCTACTGTTTTGTTACAGAAATTGTGGTTTTTACAGTGAAACAGAGATTGTTGCTTTTGTGTGTGTTGATCTGACTTTAGAGTCTACATAAAAGACGATTTCAAACAATTTTGAAAATTTTATGAAATAAAGAGAGCTTGAGTTTGAGTTTGAATACATGATAGACTTATTTTTCCAATGTAATCACGTAGGTATGTTTCGGAAATTTAAAATTAAATTGGTGACATTAAATAAGTGTGTTTCGTACTTTTTTCTGTAATCATAAGTATTTATATCCAACATAGTTTTAAAATTTATTTAAAAAATTAAAATAGTGTCTTAACGCAGTTTTATCAAAGGCAATAAATTCTAATAGTAAACATAAATCTAAAAGAATCCTTTGAGTTTCGACAACTTTTGTAATGCTTATTTACATTTTAACTTTGAATTAAACTTTGAAACCACGAGTGATTATTAATTAGACTTTGTAACTTTAAGACTGAATTAATGTTGTTGATGTTAGCAACTTTTTTCAAGGGTGTTTCTACCAACAAAAATTGTCAAAATGCTTTAAAGTGTTTGTAATAGCTTAAAGAACCGCAAATCACTAAATAAAATTTCGTATCGAACTAAAAACTTCCATCCAAGGGCACGTAAGAGGGCACGTGACGATTATAAATTAGTGATTATGAATTTAATGGCATTCAGTTCTGAATGTGTATCACATGTATATGTATGTAATTTACTACTGAGTAATTTCGTTATGGGTTTTAAGATCGTTTAACTTTTCATGGGACTTCTTGAGTGTCATTACTCGGTATGTTCGCGGGTCACTGCTGTTGATTCTGGTGTAGGATGTACGTGTGTTTGAATAACAATAATTAAAAAAAAACAAGTCACATTATAATCTGCTATTAGTTTGTTGTGTGCTGTACCTCTAAAAAAGGTCTTCACCAATAACTGTGACCAAACCAATAAAATGGTCTATCAAACATACTCCTTTGGGATAAGGTGACCATTTTATTTAAATGGGTTAGTTCTGTACCTAACACCGTGTTGACAGTAATTCAGTTTAAAAAAAAAGATGTCACACTTTTTTTGTAACTTGATGGTATCTTCTCTTTCGCGATTTCCTCGACTTTCATCATTTATGATCAGTTGCCTATGACCTACTCTTTTGGGATAAGGTGACTATTTTATTTAAATAGGTTAGTTCTGAACCTAACAAAGTGTTGCCAGTAATGCAGTATTAAAAAAACAAAAGATGTCACACTTTTTTAGTAACTTGATAGTATCTTCTCTTTCGCGATTTCATCGTTTCATCATTTATGATCAGTTGCCCGCTCCTATGGCTTGTAGCGTAAAAAGAAAAATGCTTACTAACCTAACTTTACACACGAATACACAATATGAGTTATTTTTCAAAACAAAAACTCTCACTCTTACTTAACTACATTATGTCTCATTATTTTGAGCTAAGTACAAACACAAGAACTTGTATTTCGTATAGAATGTAGGACCATTTTTTTATTATATTCCAGGACAATAATACATTATTGAACTGACAATAGACATTAGGTCTGCGTGCGGCATAGAACATTAAAAATTTCAATACCGAAATAAAACGTACCGGTTTTATTATTTCAGTGCCTACCAGAAAGGAAATAAACATAGGAAAATTCCATTTACTGATATATAACCTAATTTAATGGTTATTAAACTAAGTATTACTTGATATTATTGACAATTTTAATCGCTCATATGGTAAATTTCTGTAGGATTATTACAGAACCTTTCAATAGCAATTATACTTAATAATAATGCGATGCGTTGCACAAACTGTGGTAATTGAGTTAGTTAAAAATGTGACCAACTGACCGTGAAATGTAATGAATATAACTTAATAAGTATATTATACTTCTACGATTATCACGGACTTTAATGTTACGATAAAAGTCCGCATAGAAACTTAGAACATTTTTGAATTTTAATTTAGAATGTGTATGTACCCCTATTAAATTGATGTACTGTAGGTATTGTTTACGAAACTGGAAACGATAACGTTTGTAGTATATCCACTTTCAACGTTTACATGGTGAAATTGTTAGATAATAATAATATAATATTATAATATATCTCACACACGGCCGTCTGATCCCAAACTAGGCAGAGCCTGTACTATGGTAACCAGACCGCTGATAAACATACTTATATATTTCTAAATACATACATATTATAGATAAATTACACCCAGACACAGAACAAATGACCGTGCTCATAGATATTTTCTTGTTGCAATAAATTATTGCAAATCAGTAAAATATAGTCAAATTAGTCCCTATTTAAAATCCCAGGTCTTAAGTGAAGTCTCGATAACTAAACTCAGTTATATTATTTGCAAAACTTGTTTATTTGTCAATAATATTTATAGAAAAAAAAAACAGTATATATTTAATTTTGTAATTATGATTCTTGGCGCTGCAGGTTGTTAACTATAACTAAATTACTTATTTAATGTTATTTATAAAGACAACAAGAAGAAGGGTAATATTTACAGATTGTCAACGCTACTAATACCTGTTTCGTTTGGAATAAAGGTGAGGCGCAGATGACGTACTGGTTTACGCGGTACAAGTTCAAATTCACGGAGATCGACTACAGCTTGTTCCTCACATACTCCGTCCTTGTGGGTAGTATCGGTGAGTCACACAATTGCTTTATATTACTATTATTTATTGCTAATACTACTGTTTTATAAAACTTAACAATGATGAGCAAGATAAATGATTCCTTTAAGAAATAGTATAACTATGACTATTTAGTTCTCACATATACAATTCCAGACCAAAATTAAAAGATCTATGTCAGATAAAAATAAATACATAAGTAGAAATTCAGGTGAAGCCTCTGCTTCTAAATACTCATTTAGAATGTGGCTCTAAAGCAGGATGAGCAGTTTGCTGAGCATTTTTATCAACTAATTAATCGTGTTGTTAATTATATGCTTCATCATCATCATCAACAGCCTTTACTAGTCCACTGCTGTTGACGGCTGCTTAGAAAGGAGGTTTTGGCCTACTATACCACGCTGGCCAGTCGGGTTGGTATAGGGTTTGTGTCAAGTTTTCCTTCTCTCTGCAGTGCTATTGTCCTGCGTAGTTTGCTCCCTTAGTCGCCTCTTCCGACACCCACGGGATGAATAGGGGTGGTGACACTCTGTATTCTTAATCCGTCACCACACGGATTATATGCTTGTTTCACATTAATTAGTTATTTTTTTTCTCATTTAGTTGTTACTTAAGAAAGAACTTTTTATAAAATTTAACACAGCACGCCATAATAAATGTTTACACTTCTCTTAATTTTAATTTATTTTGAACTAGTTATTTATTCATTGTATAGTAATATAATTTGTCTTGCATATCGTTTTGTACATGTACATGCATGTAGAAATATACTGACAAGGCACTATCTGGCAGTGTATTACATAAGCGATCACACAAATAATTTATCCTTAATGAATATTTTTATTTTCAATGAAAATTGTTGTCGTTTAATTTTAATAACTTAAAGTCACTAGCCGAGAAAAACTATTTAAATTAAAAGAAATACGAAAACATTTTGGTATTATCAAATTATAGGCATATTGTACAATCCTAGGCAACGGTTTTTATTGTTTAGTTAACAATCAATCTTGAAGTATATGTTCAGCATTGTAATCATATGCGTGATTTATATTTTCAAAGAAGAATCGTAATAGGGAATCATACTCTTTGTTTGTATAGTTTATGCAAATTTTGGGTTCATGACACGTGTTCTTGGTACCACTAACAGGCAGTCGTTTGTTGATCATCCTATAAATTGATTTAAATTTATGTAAACATCTAAGTGGAAAATTTAAATAACCTACTCGTATTGAATAGTCTTGTCTGGAATATTTGTATATATTTATAAATAATTTGCATTAGAATCAACCAGAGCCTGATGCATGATGTTTACTACAACGAGCCTGGGCTTAGTGTCTTTATTGTGTTCTATTTCACAAAAGAAATAACAACGCAATTTATATATTTATGTATAAACTTCTGCTATCACATTCTGCAAACATATTCTCGATCAAGATTCAACCTGTTTTGTTAGTAACAACATGCCATTCAAATATAAGATCTTGTTTAGAAGGCATTTTCTGCGTTACGCGTTATTCTTGTTACTAAACATTGGATTTAATATATATGTAAGACACTGGATATTTGCGCTAAACTGCTTAATACTTGATGTAAATTAAATATTTGAGTCTAATTGGGTTTGTTAAAATAATCTCATATAAAATGTGTTATCATTATCATTTTTTAGCTGTTCGTTTTCCTTACGCTAATTAATTACCGTTACGATATTAAAGTGGTCAACCCTGCTCATGCAAGCTATAACTAGGTATAATTTTTTTAAAGTTATATATTAATAGAGACGTACTATTATTTTACATAAGGAGAGAGATCGCCAAGTACATAGTAATTTCGTACAAGTAAAACTCGCCAGTCTCTCTTTCATTAAAATTTCTTTCTAAATTTAGTTCACTATAAATATCAGTAGTACCTATATTGTAACATTATGAAAGAAAATATTTATCGCATATTTTTCTAATACGGCATTCCGGATATTCCCATATACTAATGTCAACTTCATACTTTGTTAGTTATACAACAGCTATACACAATACATATAACAAATCATCAAACAACAGCTTCTAACACATTGTTTGTTTTGTATTAATATCAAATTCTGTTACAACATTTTTATTATTATGAACTGAATAGCAAACTGATATCAGTGATAACATTACTATTCCGGAAAAGTAGTTATGTAAAAAAAACACCGCTCTTAACGTGTAGTATAAAGTAAATATTTTCACATCGTATGATTTAAAATTAAGAAAGAAATAGTTTTACTTATGAAATTTTTACTACGAAGGAAACAGATAAGGTGTTCCGTAATTGTTAGATGACATGTATGTAACGCAACACTAGATAAGGATAAATACATAGATATTTTAATTAGGTTTCATACGCTAAACCTTACAACCATCCGGCACTCTAGGTAAATTCCGAATTTAACACTTTATGCACCAGAAATAGGTATGCACACGAAAACAATAGGTAGCTATTTCAAGTTGTCAAGTTCGACGAATATTCTATTAAAAACATTTAGGGGTCCATATATTACGTAATAAACTTTAGTAAGACTTTATATCTGCCATAATATTAATCAGTATTGTTTATTTACTAAAATAAGTCCAATTTAACTTTATTACAATTTTTGAAGTTTAGATCTAAAGGAAAACTTCTCCTACATCATAATTTTTCATATTCATCCATTGAGTTCTAATTATAAATTCATAAATATTAATAGCTATTAAACCTTTATATATCCTTTATGACCCTTATTCTATTTCACATCACATCATCATCAACAGCCTTTAATAGTCCACTGCTGGACATAGGCCTCTCCTTAGAAAGGAGGTTTTGGCCTACTACACCACGCTGGCCAGACGGGTTGGTATAGGGTTTGTGTCAAGTTTTCCTTCTCTTTGCAGTGCTGTTGTCCTGCGTAGTTTCCCTTAGTCGCATTTTACGACACCCACGGGATGAATAGGGGTGGTGACACTCTGTATTCTTAATCCGTCACCACACGGACAATTATTCTATTTATTAGTATTTAACCTGAAGTATACATGCAATATTATTCATATTTGCATTAGAAAGGGAATTAGGAAAAAATTGGTTAAAAAATTAGTACTTTAACGGACCATATAATACGACAAAATAAATCGACAGTCAAGAAAGAAAGAAAGTATCTGCATTCAGATTTTATCAGCGTTTGGGATCTAACCTGAAAGCCTGAGTTGCAGGCGTCCATGAGCACGGAACCCGTCTGCTCGTAACCTTTTTTATACTAAAAAATGAAATAAGTACTTCGAAATTAATGCATAATATAGCTAAAAGCATTTTACAGTCAAATAAAGGGCTGCGTGAAAGATATTGAATGATCAAAGAGAATTAAGGGCAAAACCTCATTGCACCGACCCCATATAAATTTGAGGAAAGGGTAGAAAGACAATGATGATTTATTTGTATGAATTCGACTCGCACTTAGTTAGTTTATTTTTTAAATTGATTTCAATTGGTCAACCGTAACCAATGCGCTTTTTGCTTACAGCCGGCACTCATTCATTCCACCGTTGTTACTAACTCGCTGTATATCCCGCCGCATGACTTGTATGCATTATACTTTTGTTGTGATGCTTCTCTGCAGTGTTCATGTTTTTGATTGATTTATACACTATAGTTTTTCTTTTTTGAAAGAGAACTCTCGCACTAGGAATAAATACTGTGTCGCGAGGAACTTTACAGACATACAAGAAACGGACACAAAGTACACCCAGACTCAGAACAACAATTTGTGGATCACACTAAGTGTCGTCCCATGTGGGAATCGGACCCACAACACTGAGCGTAGTAGTAAGCAGCGTGGGGACCGCTTAAACCACTACGCCATCCGTGCAGTCATGTTTTTCATATTACTTTACGTGAATGTTTTGAAAAACAAACCGTATTTTCGATGTGTATATTGCTGTACATTGCTACAGTACTGTTATTGCTATGACATACCTGCACCTGGCAGGTGTGTGATACACACTTTCACTGCTATAATGTGTTCTATAAGATTCGAATACGTTTATATTACTAGGGATTGTTATTAATATGATGGAATGGAATGGTTAATATTAAAAAGTATTGAATTCTAAGACACACACATGTGGAAGCAGAGAATTTCAATAATTTAATCTTGTCTTCTTCACAGGTAGATTTTCGCAGGTAGCTTTTATTTTATTAAAACCTTCATGAGTCTGTCATGAGAACGAGAAATGAATGGTTTAGGTAATACAATTTCTCACATTTTATTATTTTCAGTAGCCTACATCATTGTCGGAACGATTTCGATCTGACTCTAAAAAAAAATTGTTATTACTTTACTATCATTCCGTATGCGGGGACTCAATCTGACTACTTTTTTTTTATATTTTTTTTATTCTAATGTTTTGAAGGAACTTTTGCATACATGGGCAAGCCAGCTCCAAATCTGACTACTAAAAACGTAACATGTAAAAAAAGCTTTCAAATAACAATAAACAATTTTAGAATTACAACTACGCAATTTGGTTAGTTTAATAATAATTGTCAAAGAAAAGAAACTATATAATGCAGAAGAAGTTTCTTATTGTATTCTATCGACATCTGTTCGAAGGTTTGGTTTGGTTTCTATTTGTCTTAACCTGCTGACATTCTGGAAAGCAAAATACCATTTTGTATTGACGTATACATACCTTTAAGCAAGTGCACAGAATTGCATAGATATCATCTCCCACAACACTATCACAATCAAGAGATATGTAAAAGGCAGAGCTATGTCTGTTTACCTCATATATACCTGTTGATTTGACTTGCCTTTTTTACGCATGCTGCCAGATCCTTTCGATTAGCGCGAACTTGTAGGTTAACAGTTGTATTAAGTATAAGTTTTGTTGACTATTATTAACGTTATAAAACATAACGATATAATACATAATAGTAAGAACGAGAAGTAGTTATTTAAAGTATTGAAAGACACGGGTTGCCCTTCAATTCTTCGCATACAAGTATTGTTTTATAATCAAAATTAAATCTAGGCTTCAAGTAATGTTTATTTAAATTCATTTAATATGATGAAATGCTGTACAAATGTGTATGTGTAATGCTGTAATATGTTTATATCATATTGTCTCTCTCTTTGTTTAATAAGTCTTTATTAGTCATAAGTATTTAGTATTTATTAAAATATAAATGTTCTAGCAGAGTATAAGCTCTGCTTAGTTTGTTTCTAGCTAACATTGTGTAACATGTCCCAGATACAGAGCGCTTTTCTTTTCTTATGGAAATAAAATAGGACTGCTTATATGACTTAAATATGTTAGAAACAACACTAAAATGATTCGTCACTTATTGAAAATATCTTTTTTTAGTAGATGAACATTCTATATTAAATTAGGCTGAAGTCTTCCTCCGAGCCTTTTTACCAAACTAGGTTAGAGTTGGTTTAAGTCTATTACGATACGGCTGAACTTCGATTTTTTACGCTTAGCGACTGCCATCAGACCTCCGCAACCCAAGTACTAGACGATATCAAAGTTCTGTAAAAAGACTGTTGGCGGAATTTTTATGTCTCCAATTAACCGTAACGATTCCCACAGATAATCGTATGGCAACCGGGACCGACGGCCTAATGTGCTCTCCGAGGCACGGATAGGTCTCAATGTGTTATGAAATGGTCATCCATTCAAAGACTGACCTGGCTAGGATTGCTTAACTTTGCAATGTGTTAACCTACTTGGTTATCACTGAGCCACGAGCCCCTTTTAGTTGAAGTAAACACGATTAAAATTTTAAAGGTCAATTTAAAAGAGACTGAACCCTCAAAAGTGTAAGAACCGATACTGGTTATGCCTGTATACCTCCTACAGGTAGTTTATGTAGAATCTATCCATTAAGAATGTAATATTTTCATGATGCTGTTTGGTTTTCATTGAAATATCTCAACAATAAGTCTTTTTTTGAGCAAAGAACCTCAGAAATATACGGGCACCCTTTTAAACATTCTGAGTTATAACATCATTTGAAAATGTATGCTGATGTCATATCATCTGTTTTGGGTGTTAAATATTTTATAACAGCCAGGATAAGCGGCATCGTTATTTTATTAAATCATTGTAAACCTGCTTTTTAAATTTAGAAGAAAAATATGCAAATGTGGCACATGACGCGACCTCTTTTGTAGCGAGTATGATGTCCGAATCAGTATTAATTTAAAAATATTTAATATATTACGTTCTAGAATCTCTTACAGTAAGATGGTATCACATTTTACAAGCATTGTGAATACAAAAGTTTCAAACAATGTATTGTTCACATCGTCGATTTCTATATTTTTACATTGTTTAGTTGTCAGTTTACCAATTTGAATTCTTAGTTTAAAATACTTATAATTTTATTACATAAATACTTCAACTCAAGTCTATTTTCGCGAATATGTAGAGAGCGGCATATTTAACGCCCACATTTTGCCAAATTGTAACTTTCATCCCTCTTTTGTAATAAAGGGCAAGAATATTGCCGTTGACCGGACACTTTCCACATTTTTTATAAAATGATAACTTATTGATGTTTAGTTTGTCACTTTCATAATAAGATTTATATGAGGAAGGCCGTATATTCCTACTAATATAAGCCGTTTATGACATTCACGAGATTTATTATAACACCTTAAAATTACACCAGTGTTTGCCGTAACACCTATATGTTAATAAATTTCAAACATATTCTATGTTTTAGCAGGTAACCATTTTTAATTAATCTTAAATAAACGTCAAACACGACTTCAAAACATGTGAAGTGATCTCAGCTCACCTCAACACCATAAATGTGTGTACGTTGTTAAAAGGAATACCGAAATTTAAAATGTGTCTTTGTATAACAATAATTGGTTAAACCTTATAAAGTTTTAAGCCAATTATTTGTTTAAAAATATTTTAAAAGCTTAAAAGAAACAATAACTTTTAAGTTTAATTAAAACTTTATTAGGCGAAAAGATTTTGCGCGAGTGAGAAGCGAGTGGAAAATACCACTCAGGTACCACTGCACTGAACAAACACAAACTAGCTAAAGTGATTATGTTACAATGAATATCTAAGGTTGGAACCCAAGTATAATGCTATGCTATGCTATCCTTCATATCCAAGAGACCCCGTATAAACTTAACTAGCTGTCCATGTAAAATATGACTTATACTCGTACATACAATAAGTTCTACATTTTGAGTAAAACATTTTACTACCTACTTAATTTCTGAGCAGATATTGTGTCTCTTTTGGGTATTCTCATTTTTTTCCTAATAGTACTAAAACGATTTTTAAAGAAAGCTGTGTTTTGAATTATTCTTTCTCCATTCCTTATTGATAAAACTATGCTAGTTTGTAAATGAATCTGTATTTTTAAATTAAGCTTTAAGTATTTGTGATACTGTAGACAGAGTATTTTTTTTAAATAAATTATTTCTGTTTAATAATTTACTAACATATAGGTGTTTTACGCAATTAAAAGACCGTACGTACGTTATGACTTGAATGATTTAGAAACATTTTTCTAACGCACCTTAAAAAAATGGATGCCATTTGTCAAGGTCACACTTAGATGTTATAGTGCTATAACGAAATTTATCAACTTGCTTTAGCACATTCTCAGCAAGTTTTATCACTAATATCTCTTGACCATCAATATCCAAGGTCATCACCTTGACACTGACCTTAGAACCACACTTACAGTCAGCTTGCTGGAAGTACATCAGCTGCTGAAGTCGATGTTAGGATTCTATGATCATTGCAAATGACATTGTGTATCAAACACACTTGGAATCAGAAGGAATTGAGAAGACTTCTATCTGTGCTAAAGCGGATATGGATTTCCTTAGAAGCAGCTTGTCAAACTTTGCAAAATGCAACACAGACAGTGTGGAAGCTAAAACTCAGCTTGTTCGCCGTCTATAGTCATGCACCACTGCATATCGTCAAGCAAGAGATTTGCAAACTTCTACGAGCAACTATACTTTCTTTGAACCAACCCTAGTCCGTGTGGTGACGGATTAAGAATACAGATTGTCACCACCCCTATTCATCCCGTGGGTGTTGTAAGAGTCAACTAAGGGAAAAAAACTACCCAGAACAACAACACTGCAGAGAGAAGGAAAACTTGACACAAACCCTATACCAACCCGTCTGGCCAGCGTGGTATAGTAGGCCAAAACCTCCTTTCTAAGGAGAGGCTTATGTCCAGCAGTGGACTATTAAAGGCTGTTGATGATGATGATGAACCCTAGCACTTCTCAAGCTACACACGCTTCTCAGGTATTTCTTAAGTTGACGAACAAAGATATTTACTTCACGTGTGCCTCTGTTAGACTGGAAGCAAGTTGGGTTCGGGTGAAATCTTTTCAGATAAGTATTTAGCAGGATTAAAAAGTAGTAAGATGTCACGATTGAAACCGCAATCCGAGCGGGCCGTTCTCTTGTAGAACTGATAAAGTACCTTTTTTTTGTAATTGTAATTATAAATATACATTAAAAAATCAACCGACAAAAATTTCAATTAAATCGATGCCATTTGAAATACAAAAATTTGATGAATATACGACGAATAGAAAGTCGTAAAACTTAAACCTCGGCTTATGTATGTCTTACTTTATTGTCCGTGTGGTGACGGATTAAGAATACAGTGTCACCACCCCTATTCATCCCGTGGGTGTCGTAAGAGCCGACTCAGGGAAGAAACTACGCAGAACAACAGCACTGCAGAGAGAAGGAAAACTTGACACAAACCCTATACCAACCCGTCTGGCCAGCGTGGTATAGTAGGCCAAAACCTCCTTTCTAAGGAGAGGCCTATGTCCAGCAGTGGACTAGTAAAGGCTGTTGATGTGACTTTATTGTTATTTTCGAAGTATAAATCTGACCATGTTAGTAGCTGATTACAAAGGCATTAGGATTGATTCATAATAATTAAGTGGCCACGGATATCAATCTTACTTTTAAATGTATACAGACCATAGGCATATCAACTTAAGGCGGTAATTTGTCTTTATTCTGTTTGGAGCTATTTGACATTAAAACAAGAAATAAATTTATTGCTGCCTCGGACAGGTTTGAAATTGTGGTGTATTTTGAGGTATAAGTCACCTAATTGCAATTAAAAGCATCCATTTGGATATTAAATAGTTTAAGACCTTAAAATAAATTGAATTTATTAAGATTTTTGTAAATGCTGACAGACGATGACAGTTTTCTTCAAGAAGTTACTAAATTCAGTGAAATTTTACTGCAAATATTCTATTACTCCTAAAATGTTTGGTATTGTAATTGTACGTTAGTCTAGGGCTAAGCATTTTTAGGCGCACTATTTTGATAAAGGAATCCAGACTTGAATTACTTTATTTTTTGTATATAGCATGTCATTGGCTTAGTAGAGAGCATGGCATTGGCCACACACTAAATTATTTGAAAATACATGTCTTTTTACTTCAAGTTGGCGAATATAAAAGTAATTTTAAAGCAAATCGTAAAATAAAACATAAGAGTCTTTTATTCCGTATGTTTGCCCATCACTAAAGTGTTGTTTCTGTAAATAAACCAAATAATCTTTTGTTTGCACAGGTTCCTTCATAACTATATATTTATTCAGCAAGAGATGGAAGATAGAGGACAGCATTATCGGCGTAGTAGCGTGTCTAAGCAGGATAGCTGCCAGCATTGTATATGCTATGGCGCCTTCTCGTACTGTATACTTCCTGGGCCCGGTACTGGATATGTTTAGTAGTGCTGGAGCTACATCCTTGCGGTCAATAGCCACGAAGCTGGTGAACGATGATGAAGTCGGTAAGTTAAAACTTATATAAATATATTATTCTGTAGATAAAGGCGTTTAAAGACTTTTCATGAAAGACAAATGCAATAAACAACAATAGAACAAATATTTTTTTCGCTTACTCTGTTAGACATGCCAATGATACGCTACAAAACACCTGTTGTTCAGACCAAAGCAAAAAATAAAATATGTTTAACATACCTTAATTTATCCAATCACTTTTCGAAGTTGCTCGCTTGAATTATCGCTTGCTCTGTGCCTCGGAAAGCACGGTGGTCCCGGCTGTCATGAACATCTATGACAGTCGTTATTAGGAAATCAGTACCTTCTAATATCTTGACAGCTGGTTTAACCATAGAATGATGTTTTCCTCTGAGTTGCGGAGGTCAGACGGCAGTCGCTCCGTGAAATAACTGAAATTCAGCCAAATTTGGTTAGATCGTAAGTCTAGAACGGAACCGGGATAAAGGCTATGGTGAAGATACCTTAATTTAAAACCTTTTTAATAGCCAGACAATACATAGACACACATCTATCTATAATATACATAGAACACACACATTCGAATATGCAAATTAAGAAAATAATATAATTTATTTTCGTATTATTTGGAATCCATCTCGTACATTTGAAAAGACTTCAATATGACCAAATGTAAAATAGGCAACATTTTTGATTTACAGTATTAATAGTGAATTTGTTTAAAATGTAGAAGAAATAGAGCAATATGGCTCAATTTTTTTTTTTTTACAAACGTCAATATCACAAGGAATGTTTGTTCAATTTGTTTTTTTTTTCTTTATGTATCTATTTTAATAAAAAATAACAGTTTTATTTACAAACTCTTACAGCAAGACGTATGCAAATTAAACTACACAATGAGTAATAATTACAGAAAAGGTTTAATGATGCATTGCTACAAAGAAATTAACTTTTATTTAGAACAAAAGTGCAATGTTCGTTGAAGCACAAATGCCTTTCATAAATGTCTTTGTAATTCTAAATTTAACTATATATTTTCAATAAATAATCTTTGTAAGTGAATAATTTGGTGAATAAAGTGGTTGTCTCTCTACCAGCCATCCTAGATACATGCGTATCATCATACATCGTACACAAGTGCATACAGTTGTGAATAAATAAATAATAAATAAAGCACTGAGGAGCATTCCCGAGGAGCATGTAATACAATCGTTAGACTAGACTATCACATTACACCACATCAACCGCCTTTAACAATCCACTGCTGGACATAGGCTTCCCGTTAGAAAAGAGATCTTGTAATAATATACCACGCTGGCCAGAGGGGTTGGTATAGCGTTTGTGTCAGTTTCCCTTCTCTTTGTAGTGCTGTTGTCCTGCATAGTCGGCTCTGACTACGCCCACGGGATGACTAGGGGTGGTGACACTCCGTATTCTTAAACCATCACCACTCGGATAACTATAATCTCTCTTTATTTTTAGACAGTTTCTCTTTTCGGATAGCCTTTTTTATTTAGATAGTCTCTCTTTGCTTTTTTCAAAACTGTGTTAAGAACGTATGCAATAATATTCTAAACACTGTATTTTGAACTTGTCAAGATGATATTCGTTCTGTATAGTATTCTTCTTCTCCGTCGTCACACTCTTGTCAGAGTGGTCGTGGTCGTCATGACCGGAGCGGTGGCAAGCTTCACAATAGTATTATCTGATTATAAATGCCCTGACGGCCAGATGGCGAAGATCACGGCTTCGATTCCCGCACCAGTCATACATTTGGGTGCATGAATATTTAAGGTTTGATTTGGTCTGGGTGCTTCAAATAAAAGTAAAAGGGCTACAATTTTTTTTTTTATTTTTATCAGTTACCTAGTACCCATAGTACCAGCTCTGCTTGGTTTGAGGCTAGGTGGCGCTATATGAATGTAGTAGAATTATTTTTTATTTTTTTTATTTAAAAAAAAAGACAATTCCCGCATTAGGAATATATCCTATGTCGCGGGGGACTTTACAAACATACATGAAACGGACACAAAGAACACCCAGACTCAGAACAACAATTTGTGGATCACACAAAGTGTCGTCCCATGTGGGGTTTGAACCCACAACACTCGGCGCAGTAGAAAGCGGCGTGGCGACCGCTTAAACCACTGCGCCATCCGTGCAGTCTATTATTAGTGCATAATATTATTATTATTATAAGAAAGAAGAAACAAACAAACATTATACCGACCCGTCTGTTCTAGTGCCCCCGTATACCGTAAAAAAAGTATTAAATTCGACTGTATTTTTTTCTGTTAATTTAATTTCATTAAAGTCTGTTAACTAGATAAAGGCACATCCTTTCAAGCTTATGGCAACATAGTTTTACGCATCGCATCAAAACGCATTCTGATCCATTATGCCATTGTTTTTAAATTAGAGAATATCAAACAACATCGAATGATAACGCAACCGACAGCTGTTTATTTACTTAAGGACGTGCTTTTGATGGCTTAGATGGCTTAGATGGCTTAGAAACAGACAGCTAGTGAAGGGCAGGATTTCTCTTCTTTTATACATTTATACAACGCCATCTAGGCCCAAACTAAGCAGAGTTTGTACTATAGGTACTAGTTAACAGATATAAATACATATATCCTGTTTTCTTTTTGGAAAAACATACATACTATACATAAAAACACCCAGACCAAATCGAACATTAAATTTTCGAAATTAAATCGAACACAAAACTCTTGGAATAGCAGTCCGTCCGTTAACTTTACATTTGTGTAATAATTTCATACACAAGATAATTAAATATTCATGATGTTTATATTAATTTTGGATAAACTATATTGAAACAAATCAACTGTCCTATTTACTCGAAGAGCTGATAGGAGAGTGTCTGACTTTATCGGGAGTCGTACAATGAACAGCTATCTTAAATAATTACATAGCGATATGTTAATGCTGTTTACGTAATACAAATACATGTATGCAACAATTAATTGATTAGTGTAATAAGATCCTGAATATTTTTATTTGTTAAGTTTAATTTTATTCCAATAGAATAAAAATAGTTTAAGATATGACTATCAATACAGTGACTTGAAGTTGAATCCCTTCTCGAAATTATTCGAATTTATTCGGAAACTTCTCCTCGAAAGTTTAAGCTCAACAGATCATAAGTTTGACTGTTTTTAAAATCATTACTGTCTCGGTCGTGCAGTGGCAGCCTATGAGACTGCTGTGCTGAGGTCTCGGGTTCGATACTTGGGTCAGCCCAAATGTTTGTCTGATCTGCAAATATTTGATTCGGAGTTTGAGTGTTTACTATCTATAATCTACATGTATTTACAAAAAAAAAAAGTATAAAAGTATTCTATCAGTCAATCTAGCTTTCATAGTACAAGCTCTGTTTAGTATGAATCCAAATGTCGTTGTGTCAGATGTCCGAAAATATTACTATTATTACCTTTATTACATTTTAAAATACTCGTACATATTGATTACCTACATTTCAAAATATATTACAAAAGCTAAAAAAATATTATTATTTCTGTTTTTTAAACAGAACAAATGAAAAGTCTTTTTAGCCTTTTTAGGTAGGGCGTTATTGTTTGATGTTTTTTGAAGACGATTTAATTTTTTTTTTCAATTGTGTGCTGTACTTTTTCCATTTTGAGTTAAATAATCATAAGTAACCTTGCAACTTACGGAAAGCGACCTCTTTCAATGTTATTCTTGCTAAAGCGATTAACTGTCATGGTTTGATGCACGTATTAAAACTGGGCATAGGAGCAGCATAGCATTTTGTTACCAAGGGCCAAGTCTGGTCAACGGGACAATGGGGATCTTGTTCAAGTTTAAATGGCCTGCTCTTCGCCGTGATTCAAATAGTGTTAGGCTTGTTACCCGATTCAAATACTAGTTATAACCAGCCATGCTTCGCTGTGGCAAACTGTGGTTGCAAAAAACAGATTAAAACCACCTTTGAAGCTTGTTGTGTATTGTGATCGTATCGTTTTTGAAGCCAAAAAAAAGTATTGCGCGAAATGGAATTGTAAATATTAAAATTAGAACACTAAGACAAGCTAGGTCTAGGCATGTATTATAGGTTATTAATCCAACCCTCAGCTTTGCATGTCTTTTCTTTCCTATAGAATATAGGTGACTATATCGGCGTTGTGGAATTTTACCTTCCAGTATCAGCTCATCTGACTAACTTAAAAGAATACAACTACAGGTCTATACGTCGTATGATATTTAAAGAACCATCTTTTAACTACGAACTACTACTAATACGACTAAAAGTCTATACATACATATTGTATTCAAAGAACTATCCTCCAACTCCTAACCGTTAAGGAGGTGTACCTTCCATCACGCATACTACTATAGCTTTAGAAAATATATGAAACACATAATAAATTTGAGGGATGCCCTCTATTCTCCTGGTATCCCATCATAAGTTCCTGACTTCGTGACAATGGGACCACCTCAGGACTATACCCTTTCTAACAAAACAGAATTTTGAAAATCGGTCCATATTTGACGGAGTAATCGGTGAACATACATAAAAAAATGAAAAAATACATACAGTGGAACATAGAACCTCTTCCTTTTTGAAGTCGGTTAAAAATACACAGCAATACTTGACCATCAAGGTCATACAAAGAAGTACTTGAAGTGGAGAAGACATGTATCAGGCAGTGGCGGTGATGTAAATTTTTATTCACCTATATTTAGTCAGTTTTTAAATGTACAACATTTTGTAACCTGTCTCATTGTTGGAGAATGAGTATATTTTCATGATTGCAGTATGAGTTAGATTTTAATCCAGTGTTCTACAGCACAGTAATGTTGATCAATAATTATAATTATATTTTATTCATAATAGTAGCTTATTTATGAAACATTTATGCTAAATTCTATGTAATAAGGTTCTGATATACATGCCACTTACGAGCTAACACAGCCTTTACAGTTAAGACAACATATTAAAATAAAATCATATTGTTATGTTGGTTTAAACAAACATAACATAACA